TTTCTGTTGTTTCAGTCCAATAGGTTAGATCATTTTCTTTTGTGCTTTTATAATTTGGTTGGGCCGAATTTTGTGGATGAATATTTCAGAGTCCTGATGCTGGATGTTGTTAGTCACGTTAGTTTGTTTCTGCAGCTTCAGGACCGTCTGAATCAGGGGACTTTTTTCAGGGTTCACTTCATGGTTTTTAAGGGCTTTAAAATGGTAAGAGTTGGGGTCACTCATGTTGAGGTGTTTCCAAAATGTGATGGCTCTTTTCTCAATGCGCATTAGTAGAGGGTATTGGCCTAATTCTGCCCTGCAGGCGTTGTTCGGTGTCCTGCTGTAGACCCTCTTCTGTTGGAGACAGCAGAACCAGATCATCTGCAAACAGCAAGAGCTTTATGTTGGAGTCATGCAGTGTGAGGCCAGGTGCTGCTGATTGTTCCAGGAGTTTCGCCAATTCATTAATGTAGATATTGAAGAGGGTCGGGATAGTGGACAGCCCTGCCTCACACCTCGCCCTTGAGTGAAGAATTCTGTGCGTTTATTTCTCTCTCTCTCACACAAACACACACTCACTCTCTCTCTCTCTCTCTCTCGCTCTGTCTCCATGGCAACAGGGAAGCGTCATGAAGGACGAGTCCATTCCGGCGGTGTCGGGGGCGCAAAGTCCACACAAACACCGTAAATCGCACTCGCTCCCGAATTAAACATTAGACTGATAACCGAGGAGTTTTCCTGGATAATTCTGAGATTGTGGAGTTATATAAAGCGTGTTTTAGAGCCGCGCTGAGGATGAGGATGGTCTGCGCCGAGGGAAGATGGCGGCGAGCGGATCCGTGATCAGATTATCTACGCGTCTCGGTCGTCGGCGTGACTGAGTTCGGCTCGGTTCTGTCGGTGTGTGTCGGGAGGGATGTCGGACTCTGAGGAGGAGGTCCAGGAGCGGCAGCTGAAGATCGTGCTGCTGGGAGACGGAGCGTCGGGGAAGGTAGGAAACTAATCAGATATCATCAGATCCAGGTCATGTCAGCATTACATCACACTCGCCTACAGATTATATATCGCAAATATCATTTACATTAGTGGCGGTATAACGTACATAAATAAACACGACTTATGAATGTTATTATAATGTACCACGGCAACCACAGTTTCCTCTACTCTAAAATCATAATATATACACTGACACGCAGAAGTTTGGGATCAGTACGCTATTTATGTTTTTGAAAGAACATCAAATTGTTGCTAAAATCGTATAATATTATTACAATCTGAAATAACTGTTTTCTATTGTAATATATATTAAAAAGTAATTTATTGCTGAGATTAAACCTGAATTTTCAGCTTCGTTACGCCAGTCTTCAGTGTCACGTGATCTCAGAAATCATTCTAATATGCTGATTTGCATATACACTCACTCACACACACTCACTCACTCACTCACACACACACTCACTCACACAGACTCACTCACTCACACTCACTCACTCACTCAC